AGAAACATTTCTGGAATAGCTTCATGTGGAAACCCTGGAGTTTGTGGTTTGGGTTTTTTTGATTTTTTTTTTTTTTTTAATTAGGAAAAACAACTTTCGGTGTTGGAAGCGGGATTTGTGGGAAGAGGTTTTGCAGTGACAGTAGAGTGTGTCTCAGACACACTCCATAAATCTGCTGGAATATTAAAAATCCCTTGTGCTCCTCCGAGCCATCCCCTGCAGCACAGCGAGCTGGGACCCCACATTTTGGGGGAGAGACCCTGGCTGGGGATGAATGGGGTACAAAGGACTGTGTGGGGATACAGAGGTGGGAGGAGAGGGACCTGCGCTCCTGGGAGGGCTGAGGGCAGGCAATGGGCAGTGGGAGCCACGGGAGAACCAGCAGCCCCAGCAGGTTGGGATAAGGGACCCCAGCCCATGGCCAGATGGGGATCCCAAACCTGTACCCAGACAGGGACCCCAGCCAGCAGCTGGATGAGGCCCCAAATCTGTGGCTGGACACCCTAACCTGTGTGTGGAGGGGAAGCAGACTGTGCCCTGAGGGGACCCCAGTCTGTGCTCAGAGGAGACCCTGACCTGTGTTTGGGAGGGATCCCACATGCCTGCCTGGAAGGGACCCCACCTATGTGTGGGGGGGACCCATATCCAGGCCTGGAGGGGACCCCAGCCTGTCCCTCGAAGGGACCCAGATGTGTGCCCAGGGGAGACCCAGGTCCATGCCCAGGGGAGCCCCCAACCCATGCCCAGAGCAGACCCCAACCTGTCCCTGAAGGGACCCCAGATGTGTGCCCGGATGGGACCCCAGCCCATGCCCGGAGGGGACCCCGACGTGTGCCCTGCTCCCCCCACCCGCAGCCGTGAAAGCCCCAGCCCGTCCACAGCCTTTACCCGCAGCTCCCGGGCAGCCCGTCCCCAGCCCGTGTCCAGCCCGTTCTCAGCCCGCTCCCAGAGCTCCCGGGCAGCCTGTCTCCAGCCCGCTCCCGGCCGGTCCCCAGCCCACTCCCAGCTCGCACCCGCAGCTCCCGGGCAGCCCGTGCCCAGCCCATCCCCAGCCCGCTCCCAGCCCGCTCCCATCCCGTACCCTCATCTCCCGGGCAGCGCTCTCCGCGGCGCGGGCGCGGTGCGGGCGGTGCGCGGGCCCGTCCATGCAGAGCGGGCACAGCGGGGCCGCGCAGGGCTCGCAGAACAGCGCCAGGGGCTCGCCGTGCTCGGGGCAGCGGGGCCGCCGCGCCGCCTCCTCCAGGGCCCCCGCCAGCCCCGCCACGGCCCCCAGCGAGCGGTTGGGGCGCAGCGAGCCCGGCGACAGCGCGGCCCGGCACTGCGGGCAGGCGGCGGGGCCCGGCGGACACCCCAGCACGGCCCGCAGGCAGCGCTCGCAGAAGCTGTGCCCGCACTCGGTGAGCACGGGCTGCGAGAACAGCTCCAGGCACACCGCGCAGGTGGACTCGGCCGCCAGCTGCTCGCCCAGGGCCAGCACCTCCCGAGCCATGGGAAAGGGGAAACCGAAAGTGCCGGCACCGGGCGGGACCGGGGGGAACGGGGCGGGATGGGGCGGGGACGGGCGGGGCTGCGGGGCCGGGAACGGGCTGGGGGCGTGTGTGTGTGTGTCTGTGTGTGTGTGTGTCTGTGTGTGTGTGTGTGTGTGTGTCTGTGTCTGTGTGTCTGTGTGTCTGTGTGTCTGTGTGTGT